ATCAAGGAAGGATTCTTCAAAGTAAAACACTTCCATAATATTTATTAATATTTATTTTGTCCAGCTTGAAAGAGATTTAGCAGCTAAGAAAACCACCTTAAAGGCAGGAGACCACCTTCAGCAACTGCTTCCCAAGACAAAGTCTAACCTGTGCTGTGGAAAACATGACAATCCAGAAGGCAGAACAGTTCATAAACTCTTACATGAGACACATACAAATGTGACTGCAACAAACTGGAGAAAAGCAGATGATGATGATGATGGATGGAAAAGTATTAGTTATGTCACAAGTGAAGGATGAAAAACGTGAAGGATGCAAAACCTCTTTGTTAGCTGTTACAATCCAGTAAGGACATGTCACATTCAACTACACTCTTTATTTTTGAACAGAGATTTGTTGTGGGGGGGAGAAGCAACTGAAAGGATGTTTGGAGAGCCTGGGGAGATGGCAGGGCCAGGAGGCAGCCAGCAACTAAAGCCAGTAAAGAAGTAGGTGCAGGTGCAGCAGGAGAAAATCATTCTTCGAGAGTAATGAGGAGACCAAGACATAAGGGAAGAGCGGGAGAATGGACCAGTATCCACTGCAGACTCATCAAGATCTCTGAGGACCTGCAGCCATCATGTCAGTCCTTGCACAGGCAATCACAGCAGCTAATGCCTTCTGCTCACCCTTGCTGAGGCTGCTGCCACTTGAACTACCAATCCCCTCCACCACGTGTCGAACCCCACAATGCTAATTCTTTGTTAAAAATTCTACCACTGAGTGTCACTGGGTCAAGAGTTAGGCTTGCAGATGCTGATCAGCATGGAGGCTGGCTGAACTTGAAATCTGAATACACTGACTTAAGGTCAATGCAAACAAGTAGGCATTTCAGAGACTGCTCTCCAGCCACTCTGTCCCCAGCCTGTAGTGCTGCAGGGGGTTGTTGTGGCCAAAGAGCAGGACCTGGCACATGGCCTTGTTAAACCTCATGCTGTTGGAATCAGACCATCTCTCCAGCTTGTCCAGGTCCCTCTGGAGAGCACTCCTGCCCTGCAGGTGAACAACGCTACCCCCCAACTTGGTGTTATCTGCAAATTTGCTAATGGAGCACAACAAGCTGCAAGGTCACGGCACAAATTTTTGAAAACACAATACATGATCAAAAAAGTACAGGAAGAATAAAGAAGCCAAAATAGGGTTTTCACAGGCAGCTGGGGCACTGCAAGTTCAAAGGGATCTCAGTACCATCATTCATTAGACACTGTACTACTGCTGACCCCACTATGAGCAGATAAAAACACATCTATTTGTCAAAGAGTTTCAAAGTGAAGGCAGCACCTACTTAGAGAAGTATAAAAAAAGTACTATATTGTTTCTGTCACACATAATAAATGTAGCAAAGGGAAATAACAAATACAAGCTTACTACTCACAATTGTTGACAATTATATTTGTCAACCAGTGATATCACGAAGGTGCCAAACAACACTGTTATTGCAAAGACAACAGGAAATGGACCACGACACAGCACAGGAGCAGGAGCTGGCATTTTGCATCATACAGTAATCCTCTCTATACTGGATGTTTCTAAATCAGGCCAACAACAGTAGAGAACAGCAGAAAGAAGGGGTACTTTCCAGTACCTTCCAGTCATCTGTTGATATATGTTGCAGTCAACCCACTGGCCAACTGCCAAACACGATCCTTAGTCTGTGCCGAGGACCAAATATAATGAAGGAAAGTGAAATGCAATCTCCTTCCCAAAGTGTGAGCTGCTTTCACTCTAAGGTGTTTAATGATCACACTTGCCTCTGCTCCCTGCCCCCTGGTGACTTCTAAATATTAAAATGGCAGGGCTCCAAACTGACACAGAACAGTGTAAAACTGAGCATGTCTGAAAGGTACTTTTTAAACGCTCCACTATAGTCTTTCCTAAATTTCACACACCTGTTAACATAACAACATCATTTATAAACTGAGCATGTCTCAAAGGCATGTTTTAAATGCTTCACCACAGTTTTTCCTAAATTTTCACACACCTGTTAACATAACAACATAACATCCCACAGAAGGAAGGACAATACTCCAAATGACCCGGGATAATGACTTTTTGATGCTCTGTACAATTATATGGCCTTCTCTGTCAGCAACCTACAAGTTTTTAAGGGAAAATGCACAGAAACAACAAATTCTGTTTACAAAATGTTCTGCTAATGCCACAAGACCATAGTCTGCTCCCTTCCCACTACCCTTCAAATTCCCAGTTTGCTTTTGAGTGGGAGAATACACCCTTATCCACAAGGAACATGCTTGACATGGTTAATGCTCAAACATCTCTGCTTTGACCATGATAATTCATTTCACCCCTTTTCAAAAACAACATGTCACAACGGTATCTGAAAAACTGTCTCTGGTCTCCAGGTGTCATAATATTTCTGATATGCCGATAAAATGGATACAGAGAGGAAAAACTCTCTCTCTGGCACTATGTCTGATTTGTGTGACTCCTTCACACATTACTCCTCTGCCGGCAAACAACGCTCTGTGTGATGGAAGTCCAAAAGAAAAACCGCTCTTGTGAAGGCAAAACCCTAGAGGAGGAACAGAATTACCACTGTCAAAATCACCTCCTGCCCAGTGTAATGTGAATCATACACAGTACCCCGCATTCCCAGGAGCCACCAGTTCTCCTGGGGCTGGCAGAAAGCTGCTGACTTCCCCTGCCACAAAGGGTTTCACCTTCCCTACTTGCTTTAATAATTACTGTAAACTCTTGTGAAATCAACATCTCAGCCTATCAAACCGAAACAACGACATTCACTCTGATAGGGTCAATAAAATCATAGTTTAGGGTACCAGTAAAATCATTAAACAGCTATGCAAGGATCAAGTACCTGGTCCTGAAACAACCCAACGCCTGAAGCAAGAACTTCATGTCACGTGGCAATTTTTCATCTAAAAAAAGATGAATGGTGTATGCTAAAAAGAAAAGCATTAAAGATATTCAAACAGTATTCCTTGCCAAAGCCTATGCTTGGACACCTGATAAAGGTACTCTACAGGTCTGGGAAAATGCAGAGCACATTCTAGCGCTTGAAAGCCAACACACAGTCACTGTTATCAAATCAAAACCTGTAAATACTTACACTGCTTTCAACAGACGAACCTACAAAATTATTTGGAACATAACTTTATTTGTATAGTGTAATCACTTTTGAGCTAAGCACAAATGTCTGTTGCTACTTAGGTGCCTAAAACCAAACTATGAATCATTCACAGATTCTTCCATTTCTGATGAATAAGGCTGACCCTGCCTTGATTCTTGCCTGGAATCACATCTTCTTTCTGGAGATGAAGCTGTGTCTTTTAAATGTTGTCATCCACAAACAGTTATTTAGTAGATGCTAGTTATTTAGTAAAATGATCGAGAAACAATGTATTTAAATTTCTCACAAAGAGAAATCCACTGTAAGAAAGATGACTGTTCTAATCAGAAACATTCAAACAAACTACTTTAAAATTAGGCATTTTTATGTTTTCACATCTTTATTCAACCATGTGAATTGTCTTAAGCCTCTTTGGTCAATGCTTTTCATTAAAAGGCCATAATTTAATTCAATTAATAAGCAATTATTACAGTGGGATTAATAAACTAAATACTGTCACTGACATTTTAAAAACATTAAGATGAAAGCTAATGCCAATTCTGTCAACAGTAAGACAGTTTCATTTTTTGGCCTTTCTGCATGGACAAGGATTTTCTAGTTGCCCTGAGTTACACACAATCTCTATACATTACTGAATATACTGCTTTAATCTTTATCCCGCTTTTTCCATGTCCATAGCCAAAGCATGCAGTAATGCAAATACGAAAGGAGTAACTGCATCAATTCAAAGGTGACATTAACATAATGAAAACAAAAAAGCTAATAAAAAGCTATTTACTGTTTTATTAAGCGGTTCTTCTAAAAGCTTCCCAAAGAAATTCCTCTACATTGGTCTGAAACTGCCTGTCTGCACTGGGTGCAACAAATCCATCTGACAAGAATTTAAATGGCCTGCAAAACAAATAACGTCATTTGACAGACATATACGCACTGTCCTTTTATTAGTTAATGCAAGGCATTGCCCACTTTAGAATCATCTTTTCACCTATATTATTGACATCAACACAAATGACTAATAATGATTGAAATTTCCTTTTTCTTTTCTTCTATATTTGTTTGCTTTTTTCTTTTTTCTGTCTATACATAAGCAGTCAATTACACAAGCTTTTTTGTTTAATACATATTCAATTGCTGTATCTGTCAGGCATAGTTAGAAAAAGGCAAAAGTAATTTACATAGGAAAACCATTTTGTCCAGAGTCTTCATTTCAGTGCCTTCTGAGCTTGGCCATGTTTTTACTGAATATACACACAAGTATTGCTGACTGTTATTTTTTTGGATTTTTGTTTTACAAGGGTTAAATGCAATATAGTAAGATGCAATAAAGTGGAAAGACTCTAGCAGCCTATTGTAGTTCATCACACTACGCCACACAGAACTGATGTACCACCCCTTCAAATCACGTAAGGTTGACAGATCTCTGCTGCTGAAGTCAGTAACGTTCTCTGCATATCTGGCTTCTATACAGCTCTGGAAACTCTCAAATTTTGAAGAAGACACACAGCTAGCCAAAATACAGTTGCCAGGACTGTGGCAGGAGTACATATTTTGGGACGAAGGAGAAAAGCTGCCCGTAAATCTCTACTCACAGGCATACACCTTACTGAATTTAATTACAGTGCCCATCTCTATCAAAGACATTTTGATTTTCAAATAAAAATAATCAATTAAACTATGAAAGACTCATCCTGGATTCTTCCCTTCTGCTAACTGTACCACAAGTGCAACACTGTTCTTGGAGAGGGGACTCCGTAACCTCATCATCACAGAGAGTGGAAGAGGGGCAACAGCAGGTATAAGCTGTGTTAGCCATTGCCCCTGGCCATGAGCATCACCCTCCCAGCACTTTACCTGATGGTGTACTAGCTGCTGTCATGGCTGTACTCATTGAGTGCATAGGGCTGCTGCTTTCCAACGAGAGGCAAGAGCTGCCACCGCTGTTCTTCTTAAGAAATGTCTCGGGGACACTGGGCAGGGGCACTGGGTGGCTGATTCCCAGTTCCTCTTCCTGAGCTTGCTGTCTTCTCAGTGCAACCTGGAAACAAAAGACAGACCTAAGGGCATGCTCTGTGGCTTGAGCACAATTTATACTGGCAACAGTGAAAGACTCAGATTCCAAGCTGGTTTTTCCCTCTTGGCAGTCTGAATAGTGTTGACCATAGAACCATACAATCATTAAGACTAAAAAAGACCTCCAAGATTATTTAAGAAGTCTAACCTTTGACCAAACACAACCATGTTAACTAAACCATAGCACTAACTGCCATGTCCAGTCATTTCTGCAATACCTTCAGGGATGGTGACTCCAGCACTTTCCTGGGCACCCATTCCAATGCTTGACAAGCCTTTCTGTGACAAAATTCTTCCTGATGTCCAACTTGAACCTCCCCTGGTGCAGCTTGAGGCCATTTCCCGTTGTCCTGCTGCTAGCTGCCTGGGAGAAGAGGCCAACCTCCATCTTGCTATAACCTCCTTTCCAATAGCTGAAGAGAGTGGTAAGGTCTCCCCTGAGCCTCCCTCCTTTTCTCCAGGCTGAACAACCTCAGCTTCCTCAGCTACTCCACATATGGTTTACTCTCTAGAACCTTCTCACAATCCAGCCAGTGGGTAGAAGAGGATATAAAGGAGGTTATAAAGCTACTGGAAACCAATCCCTTTTTGTGTCCAAGCATATATGAATAAGCCTGTGAAATGCTGGTGACACATACATCTTCCTCCACCGAGGCCAGAAGACAACACATTACAGCTGACTGCACTCACCCAACACAGCTGCTCCAGGGAAAGGCAGTCTGTAAGAAGTGCAGTTACTGCCCTACTCTCTGCTGATACACAGCTGCTGAGGACAGGAAATTAATCTGCTTGCAAGGCTCTACTGTGCCTCTTCATCAGTATAACGCAGCTCTTCGAGAGGGTTTATACTTGTAATCTGCTGCTCTGCTCAAGCCTGCTATGTTTCCTTGCTGGCTCTTTGCTGAAATACTGCCCTTCAAGGAAATCTCAGTAAACACTACACTGTACACAAAGAACCATTACGGAAGAAGCATGGTAAATGTATGATCAGCAGACAGCACCACACACATTGTATATAGCTGGCCAAGCCTGGAAAAGCTGGAGCTTCCCATTTTTTTCCAAACACAACATTAAAAAACGTAGCTGGCACTGGTCAAGCCCATAGGCACTATGCAGTCTGGGTGCAAACCAACCAGATCTGTTGCTTACAGAGGGTCCCTTCTGCCTCATCTGAACTGGTAGATCAATTTTGCACATCTGTCCACTCACGCAAAGTTGTTCGTTATGTGTCCAGGAGGTATATATGACACTGATACAGCTACCTATCCTGCTCCTTGTCGGGTGACTGATTTGCATCTTTATTTGATTCTGTTCCAGATTACAGACTGGTATTGCGGGCTTTTCTTGCTTAAAATTCTCCTGGATATCTCGGGTAGGACTTCCCCGTATTTCCATGTTCAACAGCAACATTTTTTCTAATACAGATGTGTAATACTGTTAATTAGCTTTTCCCATAAAAGAAATCCCAAACAGGAGGTGTAGACTTGGAAACACCACTTTAACTCTGACTTCACAAGCCAGTAACCTTGACCGATGAAATTCCACCAGCGTCAAGGGGCTTACTGCAGAAATATACTCAAAGGGGGAAAAGACAAACTTTCAGTGTGCAACTCCTACACAGATAAGGTTTAGTCAGGGAGGCTTTCAAAGCCACTTTCAAATACTACGCAGGGAAGAGAAAACCCCCAGGAGGGCCATCACCAGAGCCTTCTAGCAGGAGGCATCCACTCCCTAGGAAAAGCAGCTGAACTGCTGGAGAACAGTCTGTGCAGAAGGAAACACTTGGGTCTGGCAACACTGCACTTTGTGCTCCCTTCCCCGAGGCAGATAGCAAAGGGATTCAAGTTTATTATTTCACAGTTCACACCAGGCAGAGAAAGTGCATTCAACTTGGGCATAACAATGATTTCTGGACTGTCATGCCACCGACAAGAAGGAATTGTTTAAACGAACAAAAACTCAATCCCAGTGAGACCTGAGGACGTTTCATAAACTTGCACTGAATAATTGAACAAAAAAAGGGGAAGGATTTAATCCAGGGCTGCTTGGGTTTTTAAAAGCTGTCCACCCAACATTCATTTTATGTAGGATCACGAAGGTCTGACCCCACATCAGTTGCAGGATGTGGGGGTCTGATACCACTGCCTTTACTTGCACAAGCAGCTGCCTTCTCATTCGTCTGTAGAGGACCATTTACACTAACTAAAGACTGCAACCCGCCCCCCATCCCAGCAGAGCTCAGGTATGCCAGTAGCCATTACATGCCGACTACCACCCCTTAATGAAGCTCCTAGATAAGGATCACAAAGAATAATACAGCCATACATTTGCACTGCCTGAAAGCGGGACTACCAACGAAACAAAGTTATTCCTCCGCTAAATTGGATGCCGTTTTCTTAACGACTACTGAGCCCTCGTTTAGATTTAAAATGACCCACCTCCTTAGAGATTTGCAGAGCTGCTATACGAAAAATATGGAACAACTCCGTTTAAAAAAAAAAACAAACCAAACAAAAACAAAACCAAAAAAACCTCAGAAATGCGCTCGACTAATGCCACCCAGCATCAGCAAACGCAATTCCTGCCGTCCCGCGCAGCCGGGAGCTGTCCACAGGGCTGGGCTGCAACCGGCTACAGGAGCGGCGTTTGGCCGTGCTTGGGGTGCAGCCGAGCGCTCAGCGCCGCTCCTCGCCCCGACCGCAATCCTGCGCGCCCCTGGGGCATCTCCCATTTGCTATGTAAAAAAATTTAAATAACCTAAGAGAAATACAGCTGAACGTCTCATTAAAGTAGGAAGGAGCAGGTGTACCTACTGAGTGGAGCCCGGGGCGAGGCAACCCACGGCCGCGGTCGCGCATCGCACCGCACCGCGGCGCGGCCGCCTGGCCCCGACGGGCACTAACCCCGCTGGGCGCAGGGCACGGCCCGCCGCCGGCAGACACCCCTCGCCGCTCCGGGAAGAGCTCACCTGCGCTGCCATCACCCGCTGCCGCTCGGCGATCAGGCTGCACTTGTTGCACTGGCAGTCCCGCCACATGCAGAACCGCTTGTGCCCCTTCAGCGGCGAGGAGTAGCCGTGGTTGCGGCAGCGGGCACACTTGGGCATACGCGGCCGCTTCTTCCCCGCCGCGCCGGCACCCCTGTCCGCCGGGACAGCCGCCATGGGCGCTGCCGCCTTCCCGAAGCCGCCCGCCTTGTCCCCCGGCCCCGTGACGTCCGGGGGCTTGCTGAAGGCCGGGGTGTCACTGGGCATCGCGGCGGGCTGGCGGCAGCCGAGCGAGGGGTCGCCTATGCTCTGCCCAGTCCCGTCCCGTCACCCCACGCGTTTTGGCGGGCAGAATAGGCGGCTGTTTCCCCTCCTGCCGTGCCTCCCCCCACCCCTGCTCCGGGGGGTCCGTGCGGCCGCGAAGTCCTCGCTACCCCGGGGAGCTGGCGTCGGGTATCTCCCCGGGGCGGGGGGAGCACCACCCTCCCTCCCCACTCCTCCCTCCCCCACCAGGCCGGCCCGCGGCGGGAAAGGCGGGTCCCTGCCCAGAAGGGCGGCCGTGGGATGCACAGCGGGGCGGTGGGTGCGGGGCCGAGGTGGTGGAGGTGGTGGAGGTTCCTGGGCGTTCGGCTCAGCCGCGGGGCCCGCAGGTCCCGCCCGACAGCACGGCCTGGCCCCCGGTCGGAGGCGGCCCCGCGGCCTCCCTGCGGTCGCTCCCCAACCAAGGTGCCGGGGCAGTGGCCGGCGCAGGCCGTGTCCGTGGTGGTGACGCCGGGCGAGGCCTGAGAGGGCATGACAGAATCGATCCAGAGGAGCCCTTTTTAAGCCCTGTGGTCCCCTGAGTTGGGCAAGTTGGGTTTGGGCAGGCGACCAGTATGGCCTGGGCCGGGGAGAGCTGTTACCCCCAAATAAAACACCCGTGTTGCCGCAGCTCAGTTGCTCTTTGTCGTGAGGCTGCTGGCGTTTTGCTGGACTACATCTCCCATTCACAGATTCCCTCGCGCTCGTATAAACACTCTTGGATCGATAGTTGTGTGGGCAGGTGATCCCAACAGGTACAGGCAGTGAGAGTGTGGTGACAACTCGGCAGCCATCACCTCTGAGCAGGTGTGGATGGCAGAGCAGCTGTACTCTGCAGGGGAAGACAAGCAGAGATGCTTTTTTCTTCTCTACGTAGGCTGCCCTTCCAGCTTGGCACTATGTGATTTATAGATGCATACAGCTCTACAGATATTATTTACAGTATTAATATTTCCTCTGTTACACCTTTAAATCTTTCTGAGCTCAACTTTAGGTGACGCTATCTTCATGCTGAAATGAAACTATTAAATTACATCTCAATCTAAGATGAATGACAACTGTCAAATGAGTGACTCAACAGAGATGAAGCAGAAAGCACCTGAGATTATGTGAGGCTGATTTATAAAGATTGCATAAAGATTTCTATAACCTCAGCTTCATGACTCAGCATATCAGATGGTAATAAGTTACAGTAGGTAGAAATTTATTTCTGCTGGAAGAAGCCAAGGAAAGCGTCTCCCTCTTTGAGATCAGCTAGCTCCCAGCTAATTCTGCTCTGATTGAGCTTCTGTGCTGGAAACAGCGAGTGCCTGTCCTAGCCTGAAGAAAGGCCCAGATCTTTGCTGCTTGATCCTTTGCATTAGCTTTTAATACATTACATTTAAAGAACTTTTTTCTCCACAGTACAACATTGGAGACATTTATGGCACTTTCCGTCCTGTAGAGAGACCACATTAAACTGCACCTGTTAAGGCCTGGTCTCGAGCAGTCAGATGGTCCTCGAGCAAAGCTCCAGCAGAAGTTTTACAGGCTTGGTGCGGGTGTATGACCATCATTCAACTTACAGAAACTGAAACTTTTTCCTTGCATCACTTTGCTGGGATTGACATTTCTGATGTCAGTAACTGGACATTCTCCTGAAACAGAGAAGAAGATGAATACAGTGTTTAGTGGAACAAAATTAGGATTTGTCTTTAAACTTAATGGTGCATATAACTGATATTTAAGGAGGTGAACAATGCAAAGAGGCATACTTAACTTCCTGTATCAAAATATGACATTCCTCCCTGAATAAAACCAGTTGAGATCTTCTCAACTCATAGGGGCATTGATCAGTCCCCGAAGCTGTTGTCAGGAGTGCGTTCTGAAAGAGAATCTCCAGTTTGTGCGGGTCAGTGCTTGGTGGAGCACACATGCAGGAATGTTTTTGGGTGCCCACATGCAAACTGTCTTGGAGTCAATGAAAATGCAAATTAAGAAGTAGATGAAGGGAGGCTAAATCAAAAGAACGAGAAAGGCAAAATAAGAGAAGCACAGTATATAAAGCAAGCAAACACAAAATAGAAATAATAGCAGTCACCAGCTGCTTATATATGACTTTTCATTAGTAACTAGGTGTGACAGCTAACGTCAGAGATGAATTACAAGATGCAAAAAATGCAACAGTTCCAAGACGAACATTCATTCATCACAGTTTCACATAACTAGTATTTTGTACTCCCGATTTTCAAGGTAGCTGCACAGGTCTTTATTACCCATAATGTTACAGAACCTACTGGTGAGGGAAAAAAAAATAATGATCTGGTATTTTGTGTTCTGGATGAATACCACCAAAATACCTAGATGCATGATGAATGTAAGTACACGATTGATCATTTAATAATGAATTGCTTTTGTTTTGCTAGCTCAAGTCACACTTTGAATGTGGGTTTAGAGTTCAGTATTCTCAAATTTTTTTAATGGGTGTTTGGTGATACTGGATTTGTTCTCTGTGGAGTCATGAAGTAAAAGGAAATTGTCATAAACTGCCATTAGTCCTAACACGAATCACAGCAACCTCACTGCAAATCTTCAGGAAATTGTAGTCATTGTAATTCATTTAGTGTACGTCTGAGCATCTCTGTTTGAAGTCTGTGCAGTGATTATGGCAGTGACTAAACATTACTGCAGTTTGCCAGCACCTTTGGAAATAACTGTAATCGATGTTTCTCATGAAAAAAATCAAAATACTTTCGCCTTTTTTTTTCGTAATAGGTATCTGAAAGCTATCCTTTAGTTTTATCTTTTTTTGCACAAGCCTTTAAAGTACAAAACATCATCTGTTAGTGATGATCTGTCCTTTGCTGATGCATGCCTTTGTCTGATCCCACGGAATTTGCAAAAATGTTTTATTTGCCAACAAGATTATCATTTGGCATGACTGAGCAACCAGTAGAGAGGTCCCAAATTAAAAAGGGTTTAATTCTAACACTGTTGGCTGGAAAGTGAGGACCTTTCACAAAGTAAGTGGAGTTTAGTGCATTTATTAAGTCCATTTTAGAGATCTGCTAGACCTGATTCTGTTTTTGTGGTTGGTTGGTTAGTTGGTTGTTTTGTTGTTTTTTTTTTTTCTGTCAGTGGGCCAAACCAGAGGGGGTTTGCTCTGTTTGCAGTAGATATTTTTTACTCGCCCAGGTCATTTTACAGACTGTATCCCCAGGGCTGGTTGTGAATTCCCAACAGAGCCTCAGCTGCAGGAGTGGTGAGAGATAGAAGATAAAGCATGCACACTGCCGGTCTGCATTGTTTGAAAACATCGACGTGTCCATAAACACTTTGGACACTTGGAACAAAATATCAAACACAGCCAGAGGGAGTCAAGCGAAGGAGGAAAACCATGCCAGAACGTTCCCCTCAGACACTGATAGGAGCTGGGAAACTCCTCAGTGTTGGACTTCAGGGCTTCCCTGCAGCTCTGGGTATCTTGGCTGCCCTATAGCCATCAGCTTTGCAGAATAAACGGGTTTAAACCCCATCTGCACTCCTCCATTTGTGTTATTTCACACATGTCATTTACTCATGTGAGTCACTGGTTTGATATCAGTGGGTCTACGTGTGCCAGTCGTCTCCCCTGCAAATGTATTTTCTGGAGTGACAGGCATCATCGTGACAACTAAACGGATTGAAAAGATACTTCAGGAAAAATCCAGTAGGTGGCATAAATAAGCCGTATATTTTTTTTCACTTTCACTTATACAATTCTCTTTCTTTCATTCATTCCTTATTTGAAACCTCATTTAACTTACAGGGAAGTTGGGATTTTATCACTTGGCTCTTAACACACAATCCCATAGGAAAAGATTTTATTCCAAACTGAGAAATTATTTTACACTTTCTGGCAGAATATAGCTTTTTTGCCTTTTTTTTTTTTCCCTCCTATATTTATGTTTTTACAGTTTTCTGTTTTCAGATTATACATCTAGGACTGCCTACACCACAACAAAAGGTAAGGGTTTCTTATTTGGACTGGCATATCTGAACTGCTTGATTCTCTTCTCCTCAAACTCTTTTTTTTTTTTTTCTTATTTTGAAGTCCAGGGCTCCACTCTCACTTGAGTGAACAACTAAAGCAGTTTATGGTGCTGCCACCACTTGGCTATTTGCTGCTTTTCCTCCGTGAGAGTTAGGAGAGTCCTTGGAATGGTGGTCCACAGTTTCTCTCTAGTGAGCACAGGGATGTCTTTCTGCATCAGCCTAAAAAGCTTCTGTGCCTAGCTCCACTTACAAAGACCACTGGTTGGTAGCAAGGTGGGACAAATGTGTACTGTCTTCAGCATCCTCAGTTCATGTTCTTTTCTCTTGGTACAAATACATACCCTTTGGGAAGATAAGGTGTGACACACCTGCAGGGGACTATTTTCCAAAAGATACAAGAAGGGATGTTGGCAAGGGACAGGGAACAGTGTCATCTCTATCCCAAGCTGGAGAACAGGCCTGCCACAGCAGGTGATATGCCTTAATGATCACTGAAGTGACAGGTTCACTCACACTCTGCTTGTTGGTGTTGTCACAACATGTAGAAAAAGAACCTTCACATCAATAAGTTCAGATGAGCTACAGCTGAGAAAAGCCACCAGAGATTGTTGCCTGAGCAAATGCATGTTTGTTTGCAAGGCACCTGCTAATCAGAATCAGAGTTTAATGGTCCAAATATCAGGGCTATGGTAAAAACTATTTACAGAAAAATCAAGAAAAGCCTGCCTGTAACAACAAATGGCTCTTCCCCTTCATAGCTGTGAGCCCACACTGCTCCATAAAACAAGGATTCATTGGAAACAAAATTCACTCTTAAATTATGCCAAATACAGTAAAAATCAAAGCAGTTTTCAAGTTCAATGAAGCAAATAGAATGGAGATATTTTAAAAATGGGTATGTTTATCATGTTTCCACTTTGAGTAGTTTTACTAATAACAAGCATAAGGAAGAG